GCATAAAAGTTATTATTAAATTTGGGTTTGCAATGTCAGGCTCAGCTCAAATCACGTCACTTTGTTCCTTGATTTTCAATGGTCCTTCCTGAGGCAAACAGAATAGTAAAAAATTTTTAATATATTATTTGGGATAAAAATCAGACTAGAATGGCTAAATCAAACAATATAATTCGTAATATCTGAAGATTAATTCCTAACCAAGTTCAATATCATTATCTATATTTGAGTTAAATTGCACTAGAGGTTTAAATTCGATAATTTAATTTATATAGCTAAAATGGATTTGTGGGCGGACAGAAAACCTTTTTGGATATCTTTTGGATTTTTGTTCCAGAAATCCTATTTTCACCCTACTTGTTATTTTTCACTTCTGTGAAGTTTTCTGATTCACGTGAACTGTATGTTCTATATCTCATATTAGACTAATGCTTGATCGTAAAGATAAATAGATTTTGTAAAGTGATTCAAAATTGTCTATAGGATGAAAGTTATCAATGTGAATATAAAATGTATATGGACAGTGATGGAATTTCACATAATAAGGTATACTGAAATTATATCTATAATCACTTATTAATTCCCATCCAAAAAGTGATATCTGATACTCTCTTACAACTTTACGATAATATGTGTCTGTATTATCTAAAGCTGTCTCTATTTTATATTCAGAATCAATCTTTGAATTATAGCTTGAAATGATATTAAAAGCAGTAAACCTTTGGTCTTTATTGGATATTATAATATGAAGATACAGCTTTTTTTCCGTATGATAACTATAGATAGGATATGCTTTTATACATTCTTTTTGGAATAGACTCATATTTACAGTACTTCCCTTGTTGTCATTCCCAGTAGTAAGTATATTCTTTATTTTGGATTAGAATTTAGAAATGTTCATATTGTTAGGAATACAAATATCAAAAAATACCTTGATACTGATAATAGTTATAACTACTTTTTGACTATTAATAAGATGTCTATAGAGGCGAAGAATATAGTGAAGGTCTCATAAATATACTCTTTAGATTCTTCTATATTGATTGGCATGAATGGGATATCTTGATGATTCACTATCTCATTTTTCAGAATTGAAGTCAAACTCTTATCATTTCTCATAGCCAATTCATCACAAGATAGGATACTCACCAAGTAATTCTCATTAGAATAATGAACTATTTTAGCATTTTTATCTTTTTTAGCCTCTGGGTGAAAAAGAACAGAGGTGTCAAGAAACTCTGAAAGCTCAGATTGGATCATTTTTTCTCAAGCAATTTAAAATAATTTATAGATATACCAAAACTTGAGATATATTATTCGTAAGAAAAAAGTTAAAAATTAAATTAATTCCCTGATATTATTAATTGATATATCAAATGGGAGGCAGAAAAAAGGTAACACCCTAGTATTATATAATTATCTATATATTCTTAGGATTAGAGAAGTATGCAATCAAAGATGCTATCATCTAAAGGAATGTAAAGTTTATCAAAATACTAGGCAGATTTTTTGCAAAGAATACAATGAACTGATAAGATTCAAATATAATCATTGCAATACACATGCAAAAAAACATAGATTAAAGGAACACTACCAATAGAAAAAGTTAGCCAAATTAACTTCAATATAGGGATTAGTGGGCAATTAAGAAGTAATGTAAAATAATATAACTTGTCACCATAAAATTTCTTGTCACAAAGAAAAAAATTGATAGCAATACTTTTAGAAATAAAATTTATAGCTATTTCATATTTTTAGAGCTATTGAAAGATTTCAGATAGGTGTCACAATGATACTAAGAGTTATAAAGAAAAATGTTTTTTAACTTTTTTTTATTTTTTAATATATGGGAGGTAATCAGTAGAAAAGAGAGAAATCCAAATTTTGGTTAAAATTTATATTATTGGACTACTTGGCTGATCTCAGTCATATTCACAAAATTAGTTTAATAATTAAAATTAACAAAAATTTTGGATTTTCTCTTTTCTACTGATTGCTTCCCATATGTATCATGCATATGTTATATATTTATCATACTATATTGTATATAAACCATAAGAATAGCATAGAAAATTTTCAATTTTTTTCCTAGAACTTACTTTTTCTTTGTGACTCTTAGTGTCATGATAATAGATATAAAGAAAGATAGTTAAGAATTCCAAACTTTGAAAAAAACATATGAATATGTTTTAAAAAGAGTTATTATCAATTTTTTTCTTTAGGACAGGAGATTTCATGGTGACAAAAATCAGGAAATATCCTAACCATAATTGGGCCTCAGAAGTGCTTATAATATCTTACAAATATCCTTGAAAATAACGAAAAAGTTGTAAGAAAATGATAAGAAAATGCCAGAAACTGAAGGCGCAGTAGAATTTAGATAATTTTGGCTAACATTATAATACATAATTTTTGCCAGATTTTTGCTAGATGTCATCTGACACAGAGCCTTTTGAGAGCGCTATCATATAATTCTTCTAACAACATACATAAAGTATGTCATATGATTCTCCTAACAATATATATACATAACGTATTACATAACACAGAGCCTTCTGAAAGTACTATCATATAATTTTCTTAACAATATATGTAGAGTTATATCTTCTGTGATCATTCACATTGGAGCAGTAAATCAACAATAATTTCAGCCAGCACTATTCTATAATTTTAGCTAGAATTTTAGATGCAATAACTCAGTACCTAAGTTGACATAAAAGTGGTAAACTAATACCGTAGAGCACTGCCTAAGAAACCCCCTTTTGATTGTACCCCCCTGATAATATACCCTGATATTTTATTGGATGCAAAACGATGTTCTTAAGTTAAGACCCGGGTATCAATCAATTTTTAAATCAAGTAAATTGATCTATACCCGAATATTTTATCAATCATAAATAAATTAATTTACATATAATCTTAATATTAATTGTATAAAACAAATAATTTCATAATTTATAACTTTAGAAGATAAAAATGTTTTTGAATTAATTTATTTAATTAGCAAAAAATAATAAAAGCAATTGATTCTATTTTAAAATTGCAAAAAGTAATTATTATATAAATCTCTCCACCCCGACAAAGTAATTATTATACATATAAAAAAAACCCTCTGACAAATCCAAAAGTAATTTAATAACTATAAAGAAAGCATAAAAGAATTAAAAAATTATATATATGTTTAAATCTTATAAATTTTTTTCATCTCAAAAAACCCACCTTTAATCATCATCATGATAATTATCATGATTCGTTTCTCAACTTGATTGGCTTGCGTCTACTTCTTTTCTTTCATCTCCTTCATTATTAGAATCACCCAAAGATAAAAGTGATTCGGCTATTTGTATCAACTGTTGCTGTTGACGTTGTTGTAGCAGTTGTTGCTGCTGTTAGGGTTATTGTTGTAGCTGCTGCTACTGTTGAATTTATTGTAGCTGCTGCTGCTGTTGTTGTTGTAGCTGCTGCTGCTGCTATTGGAGTTGTTGATGTTGTTGTCGTCTAGGTCTACAAATAACTGAAAATATTGATATAATTAAATTAAATTCATTAATAAGATTCAAAATAAGAAAAAAAAATACCATTTACCTGGTTTGACCCAAAAACGATTTCTAAATTCCTCATGGTACATAGTACCATTTCTAGTTTGTTTCCCCTTGAGATCATCAGCAAGAAATTGTTCCATTTTCTATCAAAAATTATATCAAGTTAACTGATATTAAAAAGGTAATAGCATTATATTATATAATTTTATATATTTACCATTGCAATCTTTCATGATTCTGTGAAATTTTTCGCTTGCCTACCATCCCGAAAAATTCGTTCTAAATCTTTGATTTATTTTTCCTGCAAGCGAAGTCCACAATGCCCTTTTACAAGTACTACCACCAAGTGCATGGTATTGGGCATTATTTGCCTTCTTTTCATCAATAAGCATTCTTACTTCATCGTTGTTCCAAGTTGACATTTTTGATGAAGAATAAAAAAAATTTGATTATTTTTTTGAAAAGAAAAGAGAAAAGTAATTTTTTTAAAAAAATTTGGATTATTTTTGAAAAAAAATATGAAAATCAAATCTTAAAGAAAATTCATTTATTAAATAATGTTTTTTTATACTTACGTAATGTAATTAATTCAACTTATTAATTAATAATTAAATTAATATTACTTATTAATGATGTAATGAATTAACTACTGAGCTTAAAATAAATCTTACTTATTTGTAATCTTTTAATTCTACCTGTGACTCATCCGTGACAATATATATGATTTTGATAGTAAATGCTGTGACACATCTGCGATTAACCCTTGTATAACATTATGATGTTACCATGAGAATATTAATTAATAAATTGAAAATTTAGATGAAAATTCTTACCATATGAAAATCAAAAATTACGAATTTGATTATTAATTCAAATTAAATCTAAAGATTTTTTTATTATTAGGAAAAAAAATCTGTCATATATGATTGTATTGTTAATGAGACCAATCATGAATAATATTTTGCTCCTCATTTTCTTGATAATAATCATTGTCACTCTTATCATCATTGCTTATATCGTCATCACTATTTTCTTCATTGCTATCATTAATATCGTCATCATGAATAACATCTTTTCTAAGGTTTTCTTGATTTAATTGATCAAAGTTAAAAATTAAAGTATTTTCAGATCCATTCATATTGTTTGAAATTCCACAACACTTAAAAGAATGTCGAATCATATTAATATCCATAGCTTCCCAACTCTCCTTTATCCAGGTAGTTACAAGAAAATAAGAAGGTCTTTTGATTTTTCCCGATGGAGTGTATTCTTTAATTACCTCACTCATCCAATGGTTATATTGATTTCTAACCTTTGCTTTGAAAGGTTTATTCAAGGAAACATCAAGTAGCTGTAATTTGGAAGTTAGTCCGCCTGGAATGATTGCTATGTTAGTTTTTTTTTCACGAAGCCATTTCTTTTACAACTTCAGTTTTGTGAGCGGAAAATGAATCTAATACCAAGAGAGACCTTAGATTGCTACCTTTTTATGAACGTTTTGACCAAATATTTTCGATCCATCATATCATTTCTTCTTCGTTCATCTATTCTTGTGAATTTGCACGTATTACTACATCTTCAGAAAATTCTTCACAGGAAATCTTTTTGAGTTTGAAAATAATAACTAGAGGTAACTTTGTCCCATCAGCCAAACAAGCTAACACAACAATAAAATTTGATCTTTCATGACCAGTTGACAAAATTGATACAGTTTTAGAACCGGATTGTTTCACAGTTGTATTACTTGGAAGATTGAATGACATTGGCGTTTCGTTTATATTCCCGATAAGGGATAATGGATATTGGTTCTCTTTTCTCAAATACATAACATAAGATAAAAATTCTGATTGTTTCTCTGC